CCTACTAAAAGATCGGAAACTTTCACATCCTCCTGTAAACCTCGTCCAGTATCGTGCACATTGAAAGTGTCATATGCAGTATAGTCTCCAAGGTCCCAATCAACAAGATTAAGACTGAGCGCTTCAATGTGCGGACAACTTGCCACGAGCCTCTCAAGCTCTTCAGGCGTATAACGTTCGACGTTTCCCGTATAGAGACCTCTGTAGTCGTGAAGATTGGGGAAGTGATCAATGTGCAGGTAGCGCAGAGATTCTCCATGGCGGCAGATGCTAGCAATAGACGGGCGCATGGCCTTGATTGTGGTGATGCAGAGAGTCTCGAGTGTCGGAACGGCTTCAAGAAAGTATTCGATCTCGGTGTTAAATGGCTTCTCTCTTCCCAGGACGCTCAATTGTCGGAAGATGACTGAGTTGAGTGCGGGCTTGTCGCATTTGAAAAACTCATCGGCGAGGCACTGTACGGTGCGCGGCATATCCGAACAGTTACTCAGAAGCAGACTTTGTAGGCTACTCAGGTTGGTCATACCGCCGAAGCAATCCTCTTGCTTTTCGATAAAAGCAGAGTGGATCTCGATATTGCGTAGATCCAAGAGCACTTCCAGTTTTGGCATACTCCAGGAGTAGGGTCTTCCGTTATGTGCATCTTGAGCCTTGGGTTTGATTGCGAGTCTTCGGAGAACGGGAGTGAAAGCCAAACATTTGGCATCGGCATGGCGATCTGCTTCTTGTGGTAGAAGTGTCAAATCTTCCAGCTTGTCTAGATTTCCTTTGAGTAGCTTGTCGTGCAAAGTCGTTGAAGGAAACGAAAGTTTCGATAGCTGGGATTGAGTTTTGAGTATAAGACCAACCATACGTTCGTCAAAATTTAGCGTGGTCGTGAACGCTCGAAGGCTGTTTCGAGGTAGCGCGCACAGAAGCTCAAGAAAACGAATTGAGATATCCGCAGTGGTGGGGAAATGACCTTCCTCATAATTGTGTCCGTGAATATCCAGGTCCTTGATCATGTCTAAGATATCATCCGAACGAAGTAGCGCATCGATCGTGCTGCCCTCCCAGAGATTGGTAGTGAAGGTGTTCCAAAGTACTGTGCCAGCTACAGAGCTCCAAGCTTTGTCGACCAGGCGGGCATGTTTCTGATCATCTTGCGGAAGCTGTATTTCCGTTAGCAATTGCACGTCACATCGCACAAAGACAGGAAGCGTTTATGGCTGCTTACAAGTTCGCAGATCATGTGTCTAAGCTCAGTCGGCAGGACCTTCGTATGGTCGAGCATGGCAGGCGCCGTCATCGTAGGAGCTTGATACGCTTGTCGGTTGCGCGGTTCGCAAGGAAATGTATGGTTGAAAGTAGCCCAGTTATGTGAGTAGAGACAAGATCAGTTCTCTGGAGGTAAAGAAGTCAGGGGAACGAGCAACGCAGGGGAACGAGCAACGCTACTTCTATATGTGCAGGTCCGTTTTCACCAGGCAACGGACGTGCACAGGTCTGCTGTTGAACGCATTGACTTCTTGGTCCGGTGAAAGTACCGAGTCTTGACAGACAACGAAAGCCGTTCTACAGGAGGGCGCTTCGAGCGCCCTTTGTCGAAGACCTTGGCCAGGACACTACGCGGCGTTGAAGACTGCACTTCGAGATTCCAGCAGTGAAGTCATCAACACCGTTGTCTCTCTAACTGCTGTACTTTGTGATCAGTGTCAAGATTTATGGATGCTGCCCGGTTTTGATCTCGAATGGTGAAAGGAAAGATCGATTAGGAGCTGTGTCAACACTGGACGCGCTGCCACCAGGCGCTCACTTCACAATCTTCCATCAATAGTACGGGTCTAAACTGCAGAAAAAACGTGCGCATTCCAGATGTAATGAAACTGTTGATAGAATTGCGATACCTTGCTTCGTTCAAAAACCTATCAGCATGCTCCTCATTCAAGTCTTGCTGTAAACCAGGAAGTGGTCAAATAGCTGTCGGCCGTGAAAGTATCCTCCGTGTACCGTAGTGGGCGTCTGCGTCACAACCTCGGTAAAATCATTTCCCAGGAGCGCTTTGACTTGCGCACGAACTTGGTCGAGAAGTTCAATATCCAGTATCTCGCCAGCAAAGTCATCAAGATGGAAAAGCTCAATTTCGAGCGTTTGTAGGTCCGTGCACATCCGGATGAGTTGACTGTAGGGGAAATGCACTTTGACACGAAATTCCACCCCGCGGTACTGCATCTCGTCGCGTCTGAAGTCGATATCGGGGATTGCAAGAGCGACTTTGAGCGAGTGGGTTTGCGGGGCATTTCCTACGTGGTTAACCAGCAATCGAAGCCACTCTTTCTCATCGAATGCGAATGTAACATGTATTATACCATCGTCTCGGTGAATGATGGAGAACGTATGAACTGGACGTTGGAATGGTAGGCGAGCGAATGATATGGAGTTGGCAAATTTGGGGCTCATGATCATCGTGTCTGGTGGATCTAGTTGATGGTGGTCAATGTCGTCATAGTCTATTGGCCAGAGATTCCAATGCGCCTGTTTCCGGAATACATCAATAGCTTCGTCTAGGAATATTTTACTCGTCAACAGCCAGATAGGTAAACAGGCGTGTTGACCTGGACGCCACGGAGGTTGTTCGTATCTGGCTGCGTACCAAGCGTCCCGAGTTGTCAAGTCGCTTTCATCCAAGACCGTTCCATCGTAGTAAGCAAGGACACCAGTCTGAGTTTGTGTATGATAGGCTGCGATGCGGTTGTTCATCTTCCAGAGCTCGTCATAGACCATGTTGCGAAGTTCTGGCGGAAGTTCGAAGAACTCCAATATCATAACCGGGCTTGTCGCGCGAGCTCGAGCTTTGAGATTCGCTCTTTTGCCTCTTTTCCCTTTGCTCTTCGCCATCTGAAAATTCTAGCGGAAGTTGTACATTGACTGAGAGACGTTGGAATAGGCTACTATGGCGAGGTAACTGCAACCGCTTTATACAGGTCATGGGAGGTTTGGCGCCAACTCAGCAAGCGGACAAACCTTGAAACGTATAGTCACGAGGACCGCAGGCCGGATGAGATGTGTCTCACACGTTCTGGGCCGTGTTTGTCCCCTTGACATCCTTGCATGTGTTCTCAGCACGATGTCCACGTTTTGTGACCGAGCGCATTGCATGTCTGAAGCATCGGGCAAACCATCGACGCAGCACCAGACCATACTCTGGAAGCCTTATACTTGCTTCTCTATTTCTCCTGGTATGTATTGCGGATCGTGAGGCGCAAGTGATATACGTGGTTGGGGGTCATCGGACTGCGAAGGACGAGTAGAGGGGCCGACGCTTCCGAGGTTGTACTGCGATGCGACATTAACCTTCGCCAATGCAAGTTGCAATGATACACCACCCGCAAGCTATGTTGCTACAAGACTTCTCCGACCTTCTTGTACGATGCATGCCTTCATTAAGGCCGCGTGTGTCTTCAGTCCATTCCAGGGTAAGACGACTGGTGTTGAGATGATGCCCAGGTATCGTGATGCGCGATAAGGATCCACGTGGTTGTGTTGCGCGTAGAGATTGGTGCATATTGTCCACGAAGCATGTACACCACGGTGCGCAGGAATGCGCGTGTAGGCTGCGTGTAGGTGTGAAGTACCTTGGAAGGTTGAGCAAGGGTGTGGCTAGATGTGAGAGATCGCTGGGCGCGCGAGCAGCCCAGGATGCTAAGTGCCAGATTACATAAGACGGGAAGATCGTCATCTCGCAACCTCACTTCTCCAACCAAAGGTTCTTCGTGAGCGCTGCTTACAAGTACTTCAATTCCTTTGGTCTCCTCATAGTAAGATAAAGCGAACACTTTCCGATATACTAAGACCCCGACTAGGTATCACAGGGCACGATCAGTCCATGATCTGGGCATCTCCAGACCTTCTAAGCTCGTGCTACCTAGGTAAATAAGTCTGCAGACGTTCACGCAGAATCATCGTACCCATTATGCGCAAAGTCATGCACACAGTAGCCGGATTCACTACATGTGCGACGAGAACTAAGAATGGAAACTGGGTCTGCGATAGATCGCAAAGTCCAATGCGTTCCCGATCAAGCATGTAGTGTTCAGGCTAAGATCAGGGTGTAGCATCATCATTTTCCAAGATACTATCTAGGTACCGACGATGTGCTGCGTAGCCTACTCAGATAAGTAAGCACTTGAATCGACACATAGTTGCATTGGATGTGACCAGTCGCTCCTGCGATTCCAGGAAGAGTTGGATAGCCCCACCAGTAATCTGTTCCGCCACAATCTCGACCCCACAGGCCAGAATTTCTCATTGCAGTCTCTCGCCGGCCACCACCCTCCAACTGCACTGTCGATATAAAGGCTTGCTACCTCGTTCGTGTTGCATGACGGGGATATGTTTGGGTAAAATGCTAACCCATTCATCAAAACAACAATCTTCAATAGTATAGTGGTCAGTATTTCCGCTTGTCATCTCGGCCTTCTGGCTCTTGACAATTACGCGGGAGACCTGGGTTCAATTCCCAGTTGGAGAGCTTTCAGTCAACTTTCTTTTTGCCGTTTTTCCCGCCCATCCTCTTTTCCTCTGAGGGCGCGGTGAAGACACAGGCAGCTACGGGCAGCAGCCATTTCTTTTTGCAAAACTACATGTGATAGACACCTACAAGACTATGGCTAGGCGGCCACTCCCCCGGCACCGTGCTTACGCTTGGAGTGCGCTCCTACGCGTCAAGCCCTTTCACATCGGGATAGTGAAAACCACAACGCCGCTCTCACGGTGATATCGCACCACCGAGCCTTGGCATTACACTTGTCCGCTCAAGCGCCCTCGCCCTCACGGCTGCATACTTTCAATAGCCCAAAACATCGCGGACACCTCGCGGTCCACCCAGATTACCGGCGCCCACCGACACCTTGATCGAGGCATAATCTGAACACCCTGGAGCCTACATTGCCGCCGGAGAACTCAGATTTACTTGTTCCATCGTAGTGCAGTCTGCAGACCTATTTAGGCTTCTACAAGACATGGCGACAGATCACATTGGCCGACTGCCCGCGGAGCTGAAATGCGCAGTCGTGCGCTATCTGGTCCTCAAGGATCGGCAAGCGGTCTCGCTCATAAACAGGGATTGGGCCGTCGTCGCGATGCCCATCATGTGGGAAACTTTTACCACGGACCTACTCGTCAAGACCGGCCCAGGCTCACGAAATGTGCGCGGTTTAGCATCCCCCTCCTCGAACATCGTCAAGCACGTCCGCAAGATCAACCTCCTCGACCGACCAAACGCGTTTAAAGAAGCGGACCAACTGCCACAATTACTCGCTGCTATCCCTCGCGGACAACTATGTGGCTTCAAGAGCGGAAGTGGGGTACCTATCAGGTAAGTTCTGACTGTACGAAGTGCATGTGAGACATATACTGACTTCGTACCTCTACCTCTGCAGTACGCTCGAGCTCCTACTGCAGATACACCCGAAACTCGAACATTTTATCATCCCTGGTACCCAAATGTCGCAGATATTACAATCGCCCTGGACTGGTTCATCCTTATCAAGCCTCACCCGGATGGAAGTCTCTCCAAATACTATCACTCCACGAGAGTTTCGGGAGCTATGGGTGCGATGTCCTAAGCTGACGCATATCCGTATGATGCAAAGTGAAACTATCACGTCGACGTCAATCAGTTTGCATGAAGGTTATTTCGGGGTCGATACAACGTCTGCAGTCTCAAAAGGTGGATCAGACACGATGCAGTCAGACACGGTCAGCCTTAAACTAAGCAGCCTCCATATCGGTGCTCTCATCCTCCCTGCGACTTTTGGCACCATGTTCCAGCGGATAGACATCATTGCTCTTACCGAACTCGTCCTCGATGGTACCGCACGCGTCGCTAAACTCTTAGAGGCCATGGGCTCGGACTTCCAGAAGCGAGAACCCTCTTTGAGGAAGCTACGGCTTTCCAAGAAGAATGAGGGAGAGTCAAATCAGACCAAATCGCAACTACAGCTGTTCCTGCTCTCCTTCCAGGGACTACGCCAGCTACACTTCGAGTGCAACGACTGCACCAAGATCGATGTGGATGCCATTAGCAACCACGGAGAGACACTCACTGATCTACTCGTCGTCAATGGAGGTATGCATCGGCAAGATGCGACTAAATGTATGAGCGCGGAAGATCTGCGGAAGGTCGCGACCGCATGTCCGAATCTAGAGCAACTATGCCTCAACATATACGAGATCGATCCAGATACCCCCGAGGGCGACTTCCTTAGCCCGAAAAGTGCCACACTTTCAGACTCAACTGAGTTCGAAAATGCTTTGAGCGCTATTGCCAGCATGAAAGCGCTACGGCTACTACGCTTGACGAACCCGCCCAACTATCGCAAAGCCTATCACCGCCAAGGAGAGTTCATGCGCTTCTTCCGCCGATCACTTGAGAGCGGAGAGCAACGCTACGCGTTCCAAGCTCGAGCGGACAGTATCGTACGATACATGGGTGACCGTGGCTCGAACATCAAGCTCCTCGCATTCTCTCCCATTGGATTGCTGACAAAAGCTACCTCAGCAGACAAGAACGGTCATGTTTGGCCCAACTACTTCTACTCCTGCGAGCGGATGAAGGGAAATCGAGGTACGGGGGTCTCAATCGCGAGGGCGGTGAAGGACTGGAAGGCAGAGATGCCGGAGGCTACTATACTAAACGAGGTATGAGTTCGATCATCCTGGAGCCTATAGTGGCCTTGATTCGACTATTTTGCATGTTTTCATCTCAATGTAAGCTGCAGATTTGTTCAGGATTTTCCAGGTATGAGGCGATGCAGCGACGAGCTTGCGCATACGCATGCAGTGTACAGTAGTCGTGAGAGACGATCCAAGTCAAATACCTTCGCAATGTCAAATGCGCTCGAATGCATCACGATAGCTATCAAGAACATTGCGCGTAAGTGTATTCCATTCGCCTCTTCTGATTTGTGGCTGCAGGTGGCGTTGCCTGTTGCCTGATGCCTGGAGTGAAACTGGTCTAGCGTAATGCATAAAGGCAAGTACAACTGCGCAGTCCCCAGATGAACATCTCGCCTTCCTGTCCATCTTTCCCCACCACCCCGCCACTCGCATTATGGCAAACCTCCTTGCACTACCAGCAGAGATATTGCGCACAGTTCTGATACACGCCGTCGACGTCCGAGGTCTCAAGCGAGGGTTACGATTGAGGCTGGTGAACAGTATGCAACAGCAATTAACGCGCAGCTGTAATGCCGCCTGCTAATTCTTCGGCAGAAGAGTTCTCTCAACAAGTGAAGGATGCGCTTCAAGAATCCGAGCTACTGGACGACGTACATGGATATCGCTTTAGGTTCTCCCATTCGCCCGAGTTTGTCGCCTTTTGGCAGACATTCCTCACCAACAAGATCATAGGGAAGAAATGGGCCCAGGTGGAGATATGCGAACGCATATATCGCGCCGCCGAGTGTCTCCGCCGGATTAGCCATCCCCAGGAAACTAACGAGAAAACACTGCACACAATCTTGCGACAATACATCCATGCCTTCTGTCGCAATCCAGTGCGCATACTGTCGAGAGCACGTTCTAAAGACCCAATTCAGTGTCGAATGTATGATCAAGCATGCCTTCTGGAGATGGCCATACTCAACGACAGTCCAGAGGGAGTAAATTCTCTGCTCAATGACCCCATCTTGGACGAGATCATATCGCATTGTCTCAATCCCTGGTCCAATCCGTGCGGGACGCGTCAAAATGGACTAGTAACAATAGACTGTAAACAGGACCTTGCCTCTCTTGCCGCTGAGAACGGGAACATGGCGTTACTCGAAAAGGTCTTCCTGCATCCGGATTTCAAACAACAGTCAATATATCATCGACACGAAGCCTTCGAGGCTGCATTGAGAGGGGGCCAGTTGGACGTAGTGAGGTTCATCATGGAGCCGCGTTGGGACTTGCCCGGAAAGGGGCCATATCGCACTCACAGTTTGAATCAGCATACACTGGTGTCCGGGGTCTTCAAAAGTCCATCGGCCGATTTCGTCACTCAGCTCCTTGGCCTGATAGCCTCTCGTCCGATAAAAGCCCATGGTATCGAAGCCGTCCATCCTGGACACGACACACTCTTGTGCCTCGTCGCACGGAAGAGCCCGCAAAGAGTCGATGTGGCAGAACGGCTTCTCGAGCAGGGGGCTTCACTTAAACAGAAGGCGCATGTCAAGAGACGAGGAACTGAAGCCTCCTACACTGGTTCTGACAATCCGCTTGAACAAGCCATCAAAGGTGGCAACGAGGAAATCCTTCGTCTGCTTCTGAATCGTGGTGCGGATGCCAGGGTCCTCGACAACGATACTTTGGAAGTAGCTGTTAAACGAGGGCGTCTGGATATAGTGCGCATGTTGGTAGAGAACGGTACGCGTGTCACACCGCGGCTCCCATCGAATGGTCGCAAGGAGCACTGGAGGTGGACAGAAGACAGGCTGATGGCGCACGCCGTGCTTACGGAGAACGAGGCACTGTGCCGATACCTGGTCGAACGTGGAGCTATCGTCAATGAACATGCCTTGTGGGCCGCTGCCGATGCATCGCTGGTATCAATGGTTCGGTTTCTGGTCGACGTTGGGGCCGAGATCAATGAGCAGATGATCAAACGCGCGAAACGTTACAGTCATCCAGACGTTGCGACCATACTGCAAGCACATCACAACAGCACCTAAAGTTATCAACCTCCTTCCAGAAGCGCGTTCTTCCGCTCCCACCTCCAACCACATCTCGCGCGCCCGTCCGTGCCTCCGGCAAACCAACCGACCAAGCGAGAAAGCGAAAAACGCACGCCCACCCCAGGAAACTTCCGCGTGCCAAAGGACCTACATCGGGCGCCGAACCCTGCTTGCGATTCAAAATTCAATAGCCCATCAACAAAAAAACGCGTCGCGCGCACAGAAGTCCCTGCACGACTTGTCAACTCAAAATGTTTTCTCAACACGTAACTTTGGCGAAGAAAGCTATCGAACAATATTGTATTTGCGCAGGGCGGTGAGAAGAGAGAAGAGGCACCAAGCGCGCAATGCCCATGCCCATGCGGATATGTAATCGTCAGATCTGACATTTTAGTACCGACCGTGTCCGAGTTGTGGAACTGGGAACGACGCTGTTGGATACGTGCTGTCAGCGAGATTCGAGAAGACATGCGAACATGGGAGTATCCTGGTCTGCGCTGGTGAGCCGCATGGTCCTGGTAAGAAAGTGGTGATTGTGGTCACGAGGCCTAATGTAGCTTTGACAATACGACGTATCCCTCCTTTCGTGGCGCTCGAACCTTGAACGCGCCTTTTCACCCAGCCAACGTACGTGACGGTGACGTTTTCCATCGCGCATCACGCGCTAGATAGCGGGATAGACGTTTACTACCGTGGTGGTCTGTTACGGCTGTTGTTTCTCCTCTGGCCAACTAACCACACACACGGTATCTTCATCTCCTACCTTCCCTCTCCATGTCCCATAGCATGTCACCCACCTAAATGCACATCATCCTTCTCATCTCCTCTCTCACCCCGTCCCATGCCTTCATAACACCTAAGTAGTTATTAATCCCATCCCCATCTCCTTAGCATTAAGCCCGTTCCGCTTTACGCCCACCTCCGAAGCTAAGAGGCGGCTGTTTCATATTCATCCCTGACCAGCACACACGGCACTAGCAGAAAGAACAGACCCATGAGGGTCCCTGCGTCAAATTGATCAATGGAAAACTGACTCACGGGCTAACGACGTTTGTTTCGAAACTAGCTAGGGTAAGGCGACAGGCTGTAGCGAGTCTAGTGATGGGTGGGGAATTCGAGTGATGGGTGCTGGGTGCTGGGATGAATTGGTGGGTTGGTAAGCTTGGTACTTACTTGGGTGATGATGTGGTGATGCGGTGATGGGGGAGAGGAGAGGGGAGAGGGGACAGGTATCCTAGTGGTGATCATGGAAAAATTGCGATACGATAATGGATGGGTTGTCGTGCGTGAGTATTTGCCCGAGATGTTGTGAAGGACGGTGCGTAACTGAACTATGGCTTTCAAGATCATCACCACAATGCGTCGTTCTCGCAGGAGATGGACATTCTGTCCAGCCTGACCGTCCTCCACATCCCTCATCACCCTCATCACCAAGACCCTCAAGATCACCAACTTCACATCTATCACATCTACATATCACACCTGCCAAACTCCCGAAGTCCCTCCGTCTCCTACCCTGTCCCACCTGTCTATCTCACGGATGCGATTTGCCCGCCAAACGCGGTGTTCGTATAGTCTCGTGACGCCTTCAACATCCTCGCTCAATTCCCGCTTCCTCATCAATCTGTTACATAGACCCGGCGTAGGGCTGCATATTCCGATCTCAAGTAGATCTTCGATTTTGCGCTTGTGGTGCAGGCATGTTGATACAGAAACAGCGGGGGCAGAGAGAGAGATCAACACCTGGGCAACTGTGGTCCGCGGAGGAGACAAGGTCTACGATGACGAAATGATGGACAGGAGAGGTGAATATCGCAATCCCCCCTCCTACCATGTTGAGAGGTGTGATGCGCGTCATTGCTATTCTCGCGTGTGTGTTGGATGCAGGTGGAGAACAGGGGGGCATGATTGGCATGATTAGCATTGCATACATACGTGTAGTCTCACGTGTGCGGTGTGAGGTTGAATCCGGTGGTCTTGGTACCTAGGTATACCGTGGGGCTAGACTGTCTCGGTGTCTTTTCTGCGCATTCGTTGTCTAAGGTAGCTAGGTATGAAGCACACCGACTTGCGAGACTAGAAAATACGATGTGTTGTCGTCCAATAGAACTCCGCGGTCTAGTCGGTCAAACTAACGTATTGTCGCGTGTCACCAATCAACGCATGCAAACCACGTAAGTCACGACACCGAAACCATCATAGTTTGTAAAATCGTTGCAAAAATTGAACATTCTTATTGTGGCAGCTAGGGTAAAGTGCGTCACTGTGCGTGAGCGCTACTCCGAATCAACTGTTGTCCTGCCTCTCTGTCGCCGATCCCACTAGACATTTGCGCGTGCTTAACAGAATTAACACACAACCCTCAACAAATCGAAAAAGGTATTTCCTCCACATTCGGGATATGCCAAAACAAGAACCAAAAAAAGATCCACCGCCTCAAAAAAGGAGTCTCGGTTTCAGTGGCGAAGTAGAAAGAGAGAGCAAAAAAAGAAAAGGAAGAAAAGTGAGAATGGTCATGAGACATGGTGTGTTTCAAGACGGCCTCAGCCACGTATGGCAAAACAGTTGCTTTGCCGAAAATGCCCATCATCCTTGAACTCATATGAACATAATCTCTCCAGAATAGACTCAAACCCAAGGTTTGAGAAGATGGTAAAAGGAAACAACATATGGAAATGGCGGTGCGTGCGTGTGTCTGGGTATAACACTGCGGGTCTGAAATTAGACCGCTGGCGCTTTTTACAAAGACGTATTGAAATCAAACATTGCGAATACGAAGGGGTAATAAGTTGCAGTGTTGAAAGCGAAGCTGCATGGCTGAAGAATAATAGTGGTAAAGCGAGAGTGATGTTGCGCCGTAAAGATGAGAATAAGTTGCAAGTTTGTCGCTGAAATAGTAATTATCGAGATCAAAGCCGAGGCCGGGTATCATCATGAGTGAAATAGATCCCAAGCTCTTGCGCACAGTCCAATGAATTCTTCCTTCTTCTTGAGTTGAGTTTCTGGTGAGTCCCGTCCGGCTCCGAAGGGGCCGAGACGAGGTTGTTGGCGACCCAGCGGCGGGGTACCGTTGTCTTGTTCGTATTCGTCGCGGCCGCGTCTCCGTGAGCTGCCACTGCGGTGCAGATCAGGCCGCGATGGGTAGGCTGATTGTCCGTTCTTGGGCATTGGTGACGGGGGTGTTGGGGGCTGGTGGCCGCCGTAGTGAACTAGACGGGGCAGGAGATCTTCGCGGCCCCCGGATAGTTGCTGAACAGCCTCCTCTGCGGACTTGTACTCGCGGGGCCTTGAGGTTGGGGGCGGCTGTGTAAATTGTGGGGGCGGAAAGCTCGGTGAGGGCATTGGGGGCTGCACGTTGGAATGCGATGAGTGTCCGGGGCTGCCGTGGTGGTAGGGGTTGCGCGCTGTTCCGAGGGGCTCTGGGAAGACGTCTGAGATGGGCGGTAACCGGTTGCTGGTCTGTTGTGCGGGGACGTGGTGGATGTGTGATGATTGCGACAGGTTAGATGGGCCATTGGCCAGCTGTCGCGAGGGAGGTGCGTTGCCGCGAAGACCCGTGAAGGTTTGGTTTATCGGCGCCGACTGGATCACACGGTCGCTCGAGAAAGTCTCATGCGAGGGAGGCGCGATGGAGAGACCCGGTGGTGGCCCCTTCCGGCGGGAAGTGGAAGGAGTCTTGATTGTTCGTCCAAAGGCACCAATCTCGGTGTTCCTGGTGTCTTCCATCTGCGGTGGTCCGCCCTTGCCGCCCTTCTGGCGCGCTTCGATGATCTGTCTTTGACGCTCTCTTACATCCAAGCTCCTTTGCAGCTGCTCGCGCATGCCAGGGTCCTGGGTGTGGAAGCCGGGCGAGAGGCAGGCCATGCCGACATCGTGCAGGTTGGCGCTGCCCTGACCCGAGGGACGAGCCGTGAGGGCACCCGAGGAGTGCACGATGTTGTGGTTGGCTAGGTTGAGGCGCTGGGGGCGGTGCCGGGTGGTGGCAGGCATGTCTGGCGACGTGGGCTCCTTCTTGACGACGATCTTGGGGGCTGGGCCGCGAGACCTGCGAGAGGAGGGACGGTTAGACATGAGGGACATGATGTCTCTGTGGGGAGGGGACATGGAGGTGGAGGTGGGAGAGGAGGCCGAAGGAGGACGGCATGACGAGGAAGAAGATCTTGAGGAAAGACTAAACGACGTACGAAAAAGGTGAGGGCTTGGTCTCGGCTCTGTGGTGTGCACCTGGACTGGAGGAGGTAGGTGAAGCATCCTGAAGTGGCAGCTGAGAGCGAGACTTGGGCGTCACTTGGTGGGGAGAGAGAGTCGAGGGCGCGATGGGAGCATATGTCCTCGAGGAGCCGACGCCGTCAGCGGGCGCCGGTGCCGCATGCTGGGCAGGGGCCGGGGGATTGGCGACAACGGTGGTCATGGTCGCGTGTGGGCGTCCGTGGGTTGCGGTGGGAGGGGCAGATAGATTGTAGGAGGGTGAGGTGGCAGGGTCTTGTAGGAAGTCCGCTACACGAAGCGTCGAGGGCTGCGGGCAGCCTGGGCGGGTTAGAGGCTGGTGCAACACTAAGCGGGCGCAGCCGGGGGATGGGCGGGCGCGCGTTATGCACTGGGGCGGAGAGAGTAAAATAATTCGACGTAGGAGCAGCGCGCGCAGTCGGCGGAGAGAAGCAACAGCACAGCGCGCTCTTTTGGGGCGCGGGTGTGGAGGGGATAAAAATGGCCCGCACAGACGTGTGTTTGCACAGGGAGCCTTGGGTACAGCGGCTGGCATGCAGTAGACGACGTGCCTCCAGACGCCAGCCGGGGGGCGGTTGGCGTGGGCCGCCCTATCGCGAGCCTCGATGCCAGGCCCTCCATGCGCTGCAGCAGTTGGGGACGCCTAGGGCGAGCAGATGGTCGCGTCGTCTGCGGGAGCTCGCTGCACCAGACACACGCCACCCACCAACCCACTGTTTCGCATCCGCGGCCTGCCATCCATGGCGCCCACTGTTAAAATCTGCGCTGCT